TGGCTGAGGAAGAAGAGGCAGGTAAAGCCAGTTACAGGTTGGCCTGGGGCCAAGCTGAGGCAGAGAAGGTGCAGGGAAAGCGCCTGAGTCTTGGCTCCCTACTCCACAGCTTGGGAGAGCCAAGTGCATCCCTATCCAGCGGAAGCCAATTTTACCAGTAGGAACCTCTGCTTCACTGAGCAATATTCGATTGGCTCTTCCTTTGGCTCTAGGGGAGTGAGGCTGGCTGGGTTTCCTTCTCAGTGCTCAGGAGAAACTCGAGAGCCTAAGATTTACCAGGACAAAAGCAAAACAAAGCAACACTTCACCTTTATCTCTGGACTTTTTTTTTTTTCTTTCTTTCTTGTAAACTTGAAAAGGATTGATAATGTAAGCAACCATATTAAAAAAAATTTTTTTTAAATAAATCGTGACATGGTGCTCCCCAATGTCTCTATGCTAATGGCCTAGACTTGGAAATGAACCCTTGGCTGCCTTTTTGTACTAGCCCCCTAGCTCTCTGACAGGCCCCAACCCCCAAAATACCTTAGTACTGCTCTTCTAGCCACATATTCAAGGTTATCCATTCTGAACTCTTCTCCAGACCTTCCCCCTTTCCTCCTGCATCACAACCTACCTGTTTGTGACCTCTCACATGCCAAGGTGGCCCTGGTAACACTAGTAATTTTTGAATTAAATAATAGCCAACTCAAAAGAATGCAATGCCTTAACTTATCAGCACAGAAAGGTACTTGATGAAGACAAAAGAAATCGATCAACTACAATCCAATTTAGTTGATGGGAAATAGGAAGTAAAAGATGATTTAAACAAAAAACCAAACCCATTGCCAACAAGTCAACTCTGACTCGTAGCAACCCTATAGGACAGAGTAGAAACTGCCCCATAGGGTTTCCAAGGAGCGGCCAAAGAATTCAAACTGCTGACCTTTTGGTTAGCAGCCTGAGCTCTTAACCACTGTGCCACCAGGGATCCCAAAAAAGAAGATGAGTAGGAGAGAAAAAGAAGGAGGTAAAGAAAGAAAATTGTTAACAAACTTCTTCAATGTGGTGTAATAGGTGCTTTCATGTATTTCTCTTAATATTAGCCTTCAGTCGCCCTTAATCCCCACTGGTGAGCCTGTACTTTGATTTATAGGGAAAGTTCAGAAAGCTCTGGATTTATGGTCTTGCTAGGTCAGATGTCTTACACCCCCACTTAAAAGATTATCTGGTGCTCATAAGAGAAATAAGTGGAAACAAAGCTGTATGCTCCTCATCCTAATTATTTCTCTCCGCCCCTTCTACCCTTATGTCTAAATACCTCTCTCCTGGGTCCACATCCTAGCCCTGAGTTTACTGATGAAGCCTCAGCAGACTGTATGTGGGAGGGTTCGGGCAGAATGCAAGGGAAGGAAATAAATAATGGATGATTAGCTTGGCTGATGACAGATTGCTGCTGCAGCAGCAAAGTCTGCAGGAGTTCAGATACATTCTGCAGATCTGAAGAGATCTTGGGTACAAGAAAAGGGAAAAGAAAATCTAGCCAGCTTCAGCAACTCCATGCCTACAAGTCCACATTTTACAGTTGTCACAGGGCAGCCAGACAATCCAAATATTTGTGGTGGTCAGAAGTGTGATTTGAGCTGCATGGGAACAGCCACCTACTCAGAAAGAGCTTTCTTGCTGAGCCTGAAATGACCCCATTATTTCATCAAAACTTGATAGTTTCCCAGTTCCAACATCATTATACCAGAGGAATCATATTGTACCAGTCAGGTACTCAAATTAGACTGATTGGAGCATAAAATGGTTTGATTAAAAGGCTGTGGGGTAGCTCACAGAATCACCCACTAGGCTGGTATATTAGTTTCCTGGGGCTGTAACAAAATATCACAAATTGGGTGGCTCCTAAGAACAGAAATTTATTGTCTCATAGTTATGGAGGCTACACCTGTTGCCGGTGAGTCAATTCCCACCCTATAGGACAGAGCAGAACTGTGCTAGGGTTTCCAAAGAGCAGCTGGTGGATTTAAACTACCAGCCTTTTGGTTAGCAGCCAAGGTCTTAACCACTACGCCACCTGGGCCCCAGTTACGGAGGCTAGGAGTCTGAATTCAGGGCATTGGCAGGGCCATGTTCTCTCTGAAGACTCTAGGGGAAGATCTCTTCTCGTCTCTCTCAACCCCTGTGTTCCCCAGGTGTTCCTTGGCTTGCAGATGCATGTTCACTTGGCATCATCCCTTTCTGTCGCTCCGCTTTTATAGGAGACCTACTCCAGTATGACCTCATGGTAACTGATAACATCTTCAAGACCCTATTTCTGAACAAGGTCCTATTCACAGACACCAGGGGTTAAACAAACAAACCAAAAAAAACCACTTGCCATTGAGTTGATTTCGACTCATAGCAATCCTGTAGGACAGAGTAGAACTGCCCCACAGGATGTCCAAGGATCAGCTGGTGGATTCGAACTGCTGACTTTTTGGTTAGTAGCTGTAGCTCTTAACCAATGTACCACCAAGGCTCCATCCAGGGGTTAGGACATATCTTTTTTAGGACACAATTTTTGGGAACACAATTCAATCCACAGTAGCTGAATAACTAGACTCAGGGCCATATAGGCAGGGAGAGTGCCCCAAATCACACCATTAAATAAGTCTGCAGTGATTGCAGCCTAAGGTAGAGATTGACAGAATAATTTTATGGAAAATTTCTACCATCAGGTTAGCTTCAAGGAAATGTTCTAGGATCAAATGACATTTTAACATCTTAAAAATGCATTGGTAATACTTTTTAATTTTAAAATTAAGAACTTAAATTTACAGAAAAACAAAATGACAACCAAAAAAACGAAAAAAAATTGAACTTTGAGTTCTGAATTCCTTTCTATGCCCTGAATTTCTTCTGACCTTTGTAATAAAAATGTGTGCCTTTTGAGGGTGAAAATGGTTGCATAACTTGAAGAATGTAATCAACGTCATTGAATTGTTGAGCTGGTATATGTTCTGCTGTGTATATTCTCAACAACAACAACAAAATAAAATTCTTTTAATGCAGGCCTTTTTACATCATTGTGATCAGTGGCCAACTTACTTGGTTTTATTTTTCTTTTGATACTATACAAATACTCGCTTAGGCTCTAGCACGTGGCTAGATACAATCAAAAATTCAATACCTGCTTCTCTTGAGGTAGCCAGCTTCCAAAATGTGGCCCAGTAACCCTCACCTCTTTGTGTTCACACCTCATTGTACCAGGATTACCGGGGTCAGTCTGTGCGACCAATAGAATACATCAAAGGTGATGGTATGTCACTTCTGAGATTAGGTTATACGAGACTCTTGATCGCTTGAATCTCTCTCTTGGACCTCTCACTCTGGGGCAAGCCAGCTAGCATGTGGTGACGACTACAGAGAGGCCCACATGGTAAAGAACTGAGATGTGCAGCCAACAGCCATCGAGGAATGGAGGCCTGCCAAACATGATGGGCATAAGCTTGGAACTGGAATCTCCCTCAGTTGAGCCTTCAGATAACTTCAGTCCTGGCCAACGGCATGACTGCAGCCTCGTAAGAGAACTTGAGCCAAAACGACCCAACTAAAAAGCTCCCATAGAAACTGTGAGGTAATAAATGTTGTTTTAATCTGGTAACTTTTGGTGTAATTTGTTACTCAGCAATAGATAACTAATAGATCTCTCTCACACTTCTTCAGGGAAAAAAAAATAGTGGTTTGTGTGTGCGTGTGTGGTTCAGAAAAGGCTGTTAAAATGTTAAATGCTTATAATGTATAAATGCTTATAGAGCCCCAGCTCATGGTTTCAGAGTTTCATATGAAATTATGAGAAACAGAGCAATGACAAAAACCCCCACATATTCAGAGAACCTCACATACCACTAAAACCTCACATACCCTACTATAAATAGTATTTATAATAGGGTCAAGACATGAGACAAAATTTAACACTGATGGTTCACCGTAAGAGATTTTCAGTACAAAGCCTCTTCACAGAAATGCAGGCATGGTTATAGGAACCAAGAAAGAATGTTGAGGCATCCAGAAACTAGCACCAGAGGGAAGATATTTGGGCAAAAGGAAGAAATTATGTTCCCAGAGCCCACTGAGAGGTGGAATCATGGAGGAGGGGGTACCCACTCATAACTACAGTGAGGAAGGGACATGGCCACTGCCAAAACTATGCTCCAAATTAAGGAGAGAGTGAAAAAGAAATACCCTAATCTCTCTCTCCTTCCATCATCCTGTCTCATGTTGGTGCCTTCCTCTGGCCAAGCCTGATCAGCAACAAGAGGCCTAAGGAGCCCAGTGGGTGCAGAAGTCAGTCTCCTAGGGCACCAAGCAAGACAGAAAAAGGGCAGAGAATGGATTGAGGGGAGTGGGACAGTGTTAGAACACCCCCAGATTGAAAGAATCTTAAAGATCATCTAGGACAGCCCACTAGGTAGTCTACGTAAATCCTTCTTATTTCATCTCTAGCAGAACTCCCAAAAACTCCAATGGTGGCAAAAAGCATGGGCTTTGGAGTCAGGCAGACCCATGCCCTGCTTTCAAGCTGTGTGATCTTTGGCAAATTGCCTAACCTCTAAAAAACTCAGGATTCTTCTTTGTAAAGTGAGTATAATAATAACAACCTCATGGGGTTGTAGTGACATTAGATAATATACACATAAGTGGTAAGATTGGCCTCATCCTCAACAGGGAAGTTGTTGACTTAGCTTAGAATGAAAGATTCAGTGTACCAGATTCATACTACAGCCTGACTTCTCAGCCAGTGAGTGGTTCATCAAAACATCTTCATTACAACTCAAATGTCCATCGACTGGAGCCTTGTAAAATACATTCTGATGTATCCATACAAACAAATACAATGTTGTAGCACATAATTTGCTGATGTTATCATTCTCAGATGTTCACTTGCAGATGTTCAATTTTATGATTTACTGCTCAAAACACTGCCATATAGGTTTAGTTTTCTAAACTAAATCGGGTTTCAGTTGTTTGAAAACATGCACCCAAATGCTGATCGCTTTGCTAAAGATGATAAGCAGATTCGGGAAACAGTGAGACGTTACTGCAAAATATATGAAGAATAAAAACAAAAGGACCATACAGACAACTCTCACTAAACTTTCTGACTAGAAATGCTAACCCCATTTCCAGGGATAATCCACATGATCCAGAACCTTCCACAAGTGGAGTTATTACCATAACTGACAAAATGCCAATGTTGTCCAACTCTTCTTCATCGTCAGAGTAAATTTTTATGAGTCAGAATCAACTCGACGGCAACAGGTAACAGGTTATATATTAAAATATATCTGTAAGTTTTTATGTAATATTTCCAATCCCCAGGGACAAATAAAGATCATATTTATAAAGATAACTGATTTTTTTAAAAGCCAATAATAATGGAAACCATTTAAAAAATGAAGTATTCGACTTATGTCAGAATCTACTTACAATGAAGTCGTGGGAATGGAACCTCATCATAAACTGAGGACTACCTGTACCATAGGGATTATTTTAGAACGTGGCAGTTGCATATATACTAAAATACAGTTATTTCCACAATAATATTTGTAAGTTAGAGAGATGACAGACAGACAGATGTAGATAGATAGATAGACAGACAGACAGACAGACATAGATAATCATCTCTGGAATGATACATAAGAAACAAGTAACAGTGGGTGCTACTGGGAAGGAGTTTGGAGGACTGGGGCCAGAAGTAGACGGAAACTTTACTTCTTAATGTATTCTTTTTAAATACAGAGTGCCATTTGAATTTTTTTCCCGTACATGTACTATGTTTAAAAAATCTTCCTTGATACCAAGAGTCTTTCCATTTGGTATCTTGTATTCTTCTGTTTATTCAATTTAGTGCACAACCTTTACAGAACATCTAATTCTATACTAGATGCTGGGGCTACAGAATGAATAAGATGCAACCCCTGCTTTCAAGTAGCTATAGTCTAGTTGGGGAGACAAAAAAGTAAGCAAATAACCATTATGCAATGTAATAAATGTCACCTATCTGATTATCTTTATTTAAAACTTAGACACACACAATCCCTCTTAAACTCTCCTTCTCCATTGCACTTATCACATTCTATTACACCAAATAATTTATTTAGTTATGGTATTTCTTGTCAGTCTACCCACACAAGAATGGAAATTCTATAAAGGTGAATGTTTTGCCTGTTTTGTTCATTGATGGATCCTAAAGCCTGAATAAGTGACATTTCTCAATAGATATTCATTGGATGAATAAGTGCTATATCATCTAAAAGTTCCAAAAAGGATCTACCAAAACACAGAAGAACATCAAACTTGTATGTGGAAGTTAGTAAGGCTTCACAGTAGAGGAGACACTTGTGCTAAGTCTGAAAGCCAATCTGGGTGACTTTGACTGAAAGACCTAGTATTCTAAGGGAGAAAAAAGAGAGAGAGAGAGAGAGAGGGACAGAAACATGGAACACCCAGGGACCTGCAAATACGAAGGCATAGAAATAGAAAAGAGAATGACACATATGGAAAACTGAACTTATGGCAATAAATATTGGTTATTGATAATTGTTTAAGCTGGGTGATAGGTTCTTGAAGGTTCATTATACTATTCTTTCTTTTGTGTATGCTTAAAGTTTTCCATATATAAAGTTCATAATAAATAAATAAGCGAAAAGCAAACCATTTTTAAATGAATACTTTCTAGGTAAGAGGACATGGATGTGGTTATCAGCCACATGGAACAGCAGCCAAACTGGGGTAGCAGTAGGTGGTGGGTGAAGAGAGCAAACACTTGAGAAGGAATATATAAGTCAATATTTTTTCAATTGCAAAGTGACAGCTCAAACTACCTTATGTAATAAAGGGAATTCATTGGTTCACATATGTGGTAAGCCCAAGGATGTATCTGACATTAAAAACGGCTGCATCTAAGAATTTAATTGATGCCACTAGAGCTCTGTCCTCATCTTCATCTCTTTTTTGCCTCTTTTCAACTTCATTTTTTAGATAGGCCTTCTCCAGGTGGTAGGCAAGATAGCCACTGATAGCCCCGGCTTGAAATCCTCTCAACTTAATAACCCCAGTGGAAAAAGAAATTCTCTCCCCCATCATCTGTATATAAATCTCAGGGAAAACTCTGATTGTTTCTACTTGGCTCATGTTCCATCCAAAACCAATCACTGTAGGGTAGGAAGATGGACTAACATGACTGCCAAGACTGGAAGAGGTGCTAGCAAGTGTGTGTGGAGGGAAGGGGTTACAGGGAAGGCACCATGATCGACAGCTCCACGAGAAACCACACGAATAGGTGAAAGAAGAATCCCCTAAAGAAGGGATGTTAGCAGATCCAAATAATTGGTATCATGCTGCCCATGGAGGGCTGTAATTGATATTGGAGATAGAGACGATGGGGAGTACAAAATGGATTGAATGGTGGGAGAGAGTCGGGATAGGAAAAGAGGAAGAAAAATAAGGTCAGGCTGAGCAAGGCTCTGGAACTATAGAGAAATTTCTTGGGGTGGGGGTGGGGTGTAGAAGGTGGGATGCACATAATTATGAAGCTCTCATTAGCCTCATATGCTTCATCTGGACATGAAATAGTTAATAATCCCCCATTTTTCCATAGAGGGATGATTGAACATTGAATATGGATAAAAACTGATGATGGAAATGCTGTGATTTTCTCAGGTAAATTGTGAAGTCTGATGAAATTAGGAAAACATCCCCAAAATAGTTTTAGTTTGGTTGGCATGTGACCAAATCCTGAACATCTTAGATTAGTATAAAAAAGATTCAAATATATGTCTTTCGCATATGCTTAAGACTCAGAGCCGGAGGAAGAGACAAACCAGCACATGCCATCTGTTTAGTAAGTATGCAAGCTCCAGAGTGTGTTTGGAAAGAAAAGGGTCTTCAGTCTTCTAAGACCAGTGGGAAGTGAGAGGCAGAGATTCAGAGAAGCAGAAAAATGGTCCAGAACCAGGGCAGATACAGAGCCTGAGACTTATAAAGCCAGCAGGTGCATTGTGCCTTTTGCTATTGACCATATCAAGTTCTTTCCTTCAAAATAGTTCCATACACATCTTCTCTAAGAAATTGTCCAGCATATCTCAGCAGTAGTGAGTTATTCCACTAGTGGAATGATCATCCATAGGATTCACTGGCACGTGCCCAGGGCTTGCCTGTTAGGAACAAAGGGAGAGATTCTGATGACATTGGGCCAAGGGGACTATGAGTACTAGAAATCTTCTGTGGTTCAATCATCTCTTCCCCCTGTGAGGTGCATGAGGATGCAATATATCCAAGGGACACTGGCAGATGAGAAATCAAAATATCACGTTATTTTCACCAAATAAATGCCCAGTTTCTTAGTCCAGGGCTCTCCTACAAACACTAGGTTGGAGGAAGCAGCCTAAAGTTCTAGAGGGCCTCCTCCACCGTGTCCCTTTCTCCCTTCTCCAATCCCTCCTACAAACCACCAAAATCTTCTTACCCTCTGTCCTGCCACATTAGACAAGAAATGGAAGCAATGAAAAGTGTTCTTGGCTATGCATTTGAGGAAGAGAAAACACTATGACCAGATCCCAAGAGGATGCCCTGGGTCAGCTTACTGATTCCTGCAGCATAAAGTAGAAGAGAAAGCTGCATGAAGTTTCCTAACCATACCCTTGTTAAATGTGGAACAATTAATTCTGGAATCTGACCGACCAAGTAAACACCTCCTCCTCTCTGGGAGAAGGTGAAGGCCAGCAGAGATGGGGAGATATGAAGCTTCCCTTTTCTCTAAACACTTGCTACTCAAAATGTGGTCCATGGACCAGCAGCAGCAGAAGCATCACCTGGCAGCATGTTAGAAATGCACAATCTTGGGTCTTACCCTAGAGTAATGGAAACAGAGACCAGAATTTTAATAAGCTCTCTCGGCAATTCATATGCACGTTAAAGTTTGAGAAGCACTGAGTTTCTAACTCCTAAATCCATGCCTAAATTTTCTGTCATTTTGATCTTTACTCATTTCCTAAAATAGTGCTCTGCATATGGCCAATAGTTACCGATCAGTGGCTTAGACAGAAAGACGTATATTAAAAACAAGCAAACGACTAGACATACACACACAGCTCTGCTGAGCAGGACAGATGGGCATAGTAAGTCTCCTCCCACCCCACACCCCCATAATACTCCCTCCCTTCCTCACTCATGCTTTCCTTCATCTAAGCTAATACTGAGCTCTTGTGTTGAGTTCTGCTTCATACACAGGGTCAAATCACATGGATCACAATTCTCTTGCAGCCTTGTTTTCAAACCCAAAATTTCAAAATGAAATACTTGTTCCATTAAGCCAGGACACAGTGGAAAAATAAAAAACAATTTGGCACATCAGTATTTCTCACCTTTAAATGGTTGTGACCACTGTGACCCAAATCATGACTTATTTCAGACAGCAGCCAAATACCAGGCCTAAATCTTCGTCCAATATTTGCCTTCAGTAGCCCTTCCTACCTAGTGATTGTAACACCGGTAACAATGAAAATTCAGAACACCAGACCCCCAAATTTTTTCTCTTTGCTCTTCCTGACCTAGTACCTTAAAATAAAAAGTGACAGGGGTTGGCAAATATTTATGGATTAATTGGAGTTCTGCTACAACATTATTATGGGATCCAATAATGACAGGACTTAATGAGTAATAATTAAAGTTGCCATCTGTTGAGCACTTACAATGTATGTCACAAAAACCCTATGAAGTAAGTAGTACCTTCATTTGAGTCAGAAGTTGCAGAAGTTGAATAACTTGCCCAGGAAGTAGCAAAGATGGAATTCCAGCCCACATCTGTCTGAACCCAAACTTTCTTAACTAATACGATGTCTCACTGCAAACTCACTGTGTGAGGAGAAAATCACTTACCCTCTATGGGGTTAATGTGAAGATCAAATGAGATCAAAGATGTTAAAGCACTTAGAAAAGTAAGTTGCTGTAAAAGTAAGGTATAATTTAGTACATCAAAAGTATGTACAACTAGAAAGCCCTCAGTATTATGTAAATGGCAATGATA